ATATTATTACTATTCCAAATGTCTTTAGTGACTATTTAGTCTTTTCATGATTGTCGATCATCATTCTCCTCTTCGGTCGAGATCTCTACAGGAGATCCATTTTTCCAACGACTACAAGTCAATCTTGTAATTCCTCTTTTGCTTCCAACAATGTCTATAACTAAGATGACCATTTTATTTTTATTTTTAAAGGTTGTAGCCACCATTTCACAACCACGCCGACGAGTTACCACCGGTAGCTTTACCAACATCCAAGTCACCATTAACGACCTTTCTAGTTTTCAAACCACCACCAATGGTCACCAATAGCCATGAGTCACTCTTTTTGTAACCCTAAATTAGTTCCACAACCCACTATCGGCATTCAAACTCTCGATATTGGACATTGTTTTATAAAACGAGACCTACAAACTTTGTCCTTAATAATAGGCAACTACTTTCCTTCTTTGGCTAATTAAACAATCACTTTTCATCAAAGAGAAAGAGAGTGGAACTAATCTCAAATCAGACTTTTGGACAAATTTAGAACCTTTTGAAACATTTTGAGTAAAATTTTGAAATAATTATACCCTTTTAAATTATAGATAAAAGCTGTCATATTTTTACTATTTTTAACTTGAGATAAATTTTGCTTGGATTGTGATAATTGAGACTTAGAATGTGAGTAGATACATCATATTATATCAAACATGAAAAGGTTAGAGGCCTTAGGTGTTTTAAGGTGAAATAAAATTGATAATCAATGCTCTATGATGGAGTTGAGAGGACCGAACTTGGGATTTAATTTTAATGGTGTATCCGAGATAAATGTTAATCTCGATGCTTGTATTTGAATATAATATATATGTTTATGTTAAATGATATGATTGATTTAATATTTTAAGTGTGATACACTAAATATATAATATTTATGTCCAATGTATGATTATCTAATTTTTTATGCGATTGAAACAAAACCGACGATGGTTTTTTACCCATGTGATCAAAGCCACTAAGTGGTTTCTAAACGAGTTTATTTGATTTCTTTGTGATTAAAATAAAACCATCGGTGGCTTTCCACTTTTGTAGATAAAAGTAATTAGTGGCTTCCACATTGTATTACTCGAATTTTGTTTACTAAAATAAAGTCATCGATGGCTTTCTACCTATGTGGCTGAAATTGCTAGTGAGTTTTAAATCATTTAACTCAATTTTTATTTGATTAAAGTGAAGCCATTGGTGGCTTTCCACTTATATGAATGAAACTGTAAGTGGATTCCAAAGTCTGTTTAGTTATTTTTGTTAGCAAAAATAAAGCTATCGATGGCTTTTCACCTATATGATTTAAGTCGTCGGAGGCTTTCAAACCTCTTATCTAATTGTTATGTTTGCTAAAATGAAGCTATCGATAGCTTCTCACCTATGTGAACAAAGCTATCGGTGGCTTCCAAAACATTTTACTTAATTTTTATTTGATTGAAATGAAGCCGTCGATAACTTATCACCTATGTAGACAAAGCTATTAGTGGCTTCCAAATTATATTACTAGATTTATATTCATTAAAATAAAGCCATCGGTGGCTTCCCATATATATGGTTTATGATGTCGATGGCTTCCAAACTTTTTTATCCAATTATTTTATTTGCTAAAATAAAGTTATCGATGGCTTTCTACCTATATGGATGAAGCCACAAATGGTTTCTACCATCTCGTGCCTCGAACGGGCGGAATTTTTCATCCCATCCACGCCCCAAACGGGGACGGGGATCCCCGTCGAGCAAACGGGGCAATTTTTTTTTCATCTTTTTTTATCCCATTCTACTACCAAATTTCAAACTATAGCAAGAAAAAAAAAGATAGTTTATATAGAAAATAAACCTTAAAAGTCACTAATTATAGATTTTATATGGGGTATAATTATAATTTTAATGAAAAAAATGAGACAAAAATGGGATAAACATGACGGGACGAGCAAATTCCATCCCTCGCTCGCAGGGTGCCCACCCGTTCCTCGGTCAATGCGAGGAATCTCCGCGTTGATCGGGAAAAATCGAGGCGGGGCTCATTGGGGCGGGGCAAATTGCCATCTCTAGTCAATTTGTATTGACTTTTACAAGTGTGGTAGAAGCTAGTGATAGCTTTCAAGTTGAGGTCCAAGCTATTCTTAAAAGTATTAGAATTTGTAGAGATAATGATCTTGTTACTTTAGCTACGGATAGTGGTTCCAAGACTTTTGTAGCCCATTTGCAAGGTTCTATAGCTATACTGTGGTTTTCTATGTATAAGATTAACACAATTAGAGGTTTCGTTAGGTGAGTATTCATCATATTTAGTGTGAAGTTAATAGCGTTGCTGATGTTCTTGTCTTTATAAGGCATGGTTTTCAGTAGATTTAGGTTTTTACAAGTAGAAACATTCCATAACAGGTACTTGATTTGATAGACAGAAATTATAGTGGTATTTCTGCTTTTAGAATATTGTAGTTTTGTTGTATCACGTGAGAGGTATGTCCTCCCTGTTTTTTAAGACTTTTTACTTGTTCAAGCTTGCTGGGTTGGTTGATACCGAGCATGTTTTTCCACTTGTACAGAGGGTAAAGAAAAATTCCATACCGGGCTTTTAGGTCTCGCCTCCAATTCTATTTTATCTAATATAATTTCTCTCGCAATGTCAGATTTTTTTTTTTTTTTTAAAGAAAAAATTCCTTTCAAGTGTCGATTGTTTATACACCTTGGTAGGTTCAATATGTATAATTGTTTGCATTCTTTCTTTTATAATGTAATTGTAAAAATTTATTAGTATGGAAGCATATCTATCAATAGCATATGTAATGTAATTAAAAAAAATTTATGTCACTAGTGGCAAAATTATTATTAGAATTTGAACAAAAATTATACATAAATTTTAATAAACTATAATGATATTAGTTCATTAGTTGTTAGAGCACATAAAATAAAACTTAAATTTATTATGTTTAGAATTTAAATTTAGTAAATCACAAAATAAAAGGTATAATGACACTAAAGAATTATGTGGCTTCAATTTTTCTTTTTGACATAAAAAAATAGACTCGTGATTTTGATTTGGAATTGCTTAACATTTGAATGTCAAGACACTGTAAGCTCTCCATCCAAAATTAATCCAATTTTAATTTTTAAAATAAAAAGAATGATAGACACATTTTTAAATTTATACTGCTTCCAATTTTATAACAAAGACAAAACATTATTTTAAAAAAATTGTGATTTTTTTTTATCCTTGTCTGTTTTTGGTTTTTTTTTTTTGAATTTTTTATTTACACTAGCAACATATTTTTATGTTTATTTAAAAAAGTCAAAAAAAAAATTAAAGATTAATTACAATTTTTTTGGTTTAATTTTTTACTTATTTTTCTATGAGTAATTAATGAGCTAAGACCATTGTGATTGTGTTGGTCTTGCAAATCAAAAGGTGGTGGAACAATATCCAATGAATGATGAGCATAGATGCATTGATAAAGCATATCTTATAATTGTAACTTTCAAAACCAATATGACCATACTCATTGAATATAATTTAGAGATTTGAAAAATAAAAAAAATACTAAAAATTAGATCTTATGAATTTGAACTACAAATTAGTATGGTCAATTATATTTAAAAAAATTGGCATTATTTCTTAGGTATATATGTCAATTTGTTGATGCCTAAAATTGATATTTCTTTTACAGATTTTAACAAATAATTAAGCTCGTGTGATTATTCTCCCACTATATATTTCATTTTTCAAATATAAACAAACAAATTTTCTACTACTGTTTATAAATTTGGCTTTTGAAAAAAAAAAAAAAAGATACCAAATAATTCCTAAATTTACCAAATTATTTTTCCCAAGGGCTCAATCGACCATTTGACAAAAACAGAATGGGGTTAAACCCAAAATATTTGTTCTCTCAGTCCTCTTTCAAACTTCAATGAGAAAAAAAAGCCCTATCATTTCTTTTTTCCCCCCACCACTAAAAACTCTCAGAAACCCTCAAACGCGCCATTCCTCCTTCCTCCTCAGTCGCGACCACATCGCCACCATCAACATCGAAAACCGTCGTGGCTCGAGGCTCCATTAACTAGAGGAGCCGTGATAGACGCACCATTCCTCCTCCCTCTGAATCACCTCATTTGGAGGAACCTGTGAAGTGGGCGCTAAGTTGTAAAATTGCAGAGGAGGTTATTCAGACTCGTTTTAGGGTTTAAATTAGCCAAAACTCGCAATGGTATTATAGCCTTTTTTTTTAACCCTCAGTCTTCATAGCTTAAATTTTTATGACCTAAATTTATGTTCGAACTCTGTTTAAACAAGTAGAATAAAAGATTTAGTGCAGATTTTAGCGTTGTTAATGCCAGAAAAAAAAACCCTGATAAGATTTGGAATTTTAATACGGGACTGTGTATGATTGTTGTTGCTAAAACACGTACTTATACTTCATAAATGAAAACGATGGATTTGGTTTAGTTCATATATTTGTGTGATTTTGGAGGTTTAAATGCATAAAACTTGGGTTGGATTAATTTCTATTTTGCTTTCATGGTAAAAATACTAACGTTTTACTCTAAATGCTGGTTGATTTGATTTATTTGGAGAAAATAGGAAGCATGCTAGTTTTGTGTGTTTGCTGAGTTTGTTTGTAGTGTGAAAACCTAAGAAGGGCACAACTATGGCCAATGATGAGGCAAAATGGTTTTGATTTTTTTAGGAAGCCACTGCTTGTTTGTTTTTCCTTTTTCTAGCTGCTTCACTATGAGTTTATGTATTTGGTAATCCAGGCAGGAATCTTTAGTTAGCTTCGATAGGGATGGAATCTTGAATAACCTTCAGATTCTTTTTTTTATTTTTTTACCAAAGGGACCTCACCTCTTGGACCTAATGAGATGAGACCTGGCTGGTTATAGTAGAGGGTTTAAAATGGGTCCAAAGATTTTGTTGACTGGCATAGAGATTATATAAGGCAGTGGCTAAAACCCTCCAGTTTGTGTTGACACCACTCATGGTGACACAGGAGATTCTCTCTCCCTATTCACTTAGTGATGGTGTTACAACTGAAACCTTTTCTATTGTTTGTGGACTTGTAGAATTTTATAGCTCTTCTTGACTGAATTTTATTTTATTGGCAATTTTTCATTTTCATTTTAATTCTCAATCTCAGACCTTGTTGCCTTCTCTTTTCACTAAGGTTCAGTGTTCTCTCTCTTTTTTGTTTGACCTTGTTGTTATGGCCAGTTAACTTGGCTTTTTTAATTGCTATCCATGAAACTACTACTCTGCTGCTGCTAGTATTACTTTAATTAAACTTCATTTCAATCTATTATTGTTTCAGATTGGGCATTTAAGGAGAATAGGAGTGGGCAGTGTGCAAACCTTGCTAAATTCTAGCTACAAAATGACAATGGAAGTTCAAATACTAACATCTAAGGCACACACTGCTGCTAAAGCTGCTTCGCCTTTGTTACAGGTACTCAAAATAATTACTATTCCTATCATTAAATAACAAAACTAAAATTAAAAAGTGTTCCTTATTATTCTCATTAGTTTGCTCCTTGTTTCATTTTTATTGATGTTAATCTCCTGAATTATATGTATGTAATAATATTTCAGACTGTTCACCATGATGGAAATTCAGAGCAGAATCTGAGGAGACACCGAATTGGTGACAATGTCTCCAAGAAGGACAAGATCAAATTTCTCATTACTACAGTAAGTATACAAAACCCAAACTGCTAATGGCTATTTATTGACTCCTTGAGAACTTGGACAAGTCATTTCTGAATTTAGTGAAAATGTCACTGATACTGTGTAAAGATTATTTTTGATATAGGAATTAGGATAAAGGTTTGCAGAATTTTTGAGCCATTTCTGACCTGCATATTCCAACAACTAGCCAAGTTCCTTTCCTAACCAACTATTTTGTTTGTCTTCCTTTTGTCAATGACTACTGCAGCCTCTGGGGTCGGAGAAATTTATTAAGGAACTTGAGGAAGATAAATAACAAACCTACAAATAAGAAAGCAAGTAATGCACACTCATGGAGGGATTACATTAAAAGAAAGAAAGGGGGAAAAAAAAACAAAGAAATAACAGAAAGAACAAATTCCTGCACTCAATGACACATTAATTGCATTTTTGTAGTTCGGAGGCATCAGTCGATTTGTTCTGGATATGCTTTTTAAGAGTTTCTAAATGACATCAATGTCCAAAAACATGTCATTTTTTCCACAGCTTGTATTATGTCAGTTAGATTATAACAAGACAATCTTATATATGCAGCTTTTAGATCTAAATGACAGCAAGGATGCTGTTTATGGTGCTCTTGATGCCTGGGTTGCATGGGAGCAAAACTTTCCTATTGCATCAATAAAGCAAGTATTGATTGCTCTTGAGAAGGAACAGCAGTGGCATAGAATTGTTCAGGTTTGATCTCTCTCTCTCTCTCTCTCTCTCTCTCTCTCTCTCTCTCTCTCTCTCCTATGCAACCCTAACATGGATGCATGCTGTTCTGAATATGATGGTGTTCATGCACCACAGGAACACTAAGAAGAACAATGAACTCTTGGAGGATTAAGGGTAGAACATAAACAGAAAACTTGTAAAGATCACAAGATAACCATCATATGGGTGTCGGGATAAATCTTTCATTTTATCTACTTAAAAATTCACGTTTTTAGCACTCCTCTCCTAGCTTTTGTATCTATATCTTTTTTAAATATTCACTAAAATATTTCTCACAATCCACGTGAATCTAATATCTTAAGTTGTGCTGGTGGGAAAAGCTTCTGTCGCTCATTGCAAGTGATTGATTGCTCATTTGACATCTTATTGAGTGATTCCCACTGGATAAACCTGATACTCTTCCAATAAGGGTGTAGCATCCTTTTTCTTCCTCCTCTTTTTAAGAAACAAGTGACACAGTTGTTAATTAGAGTTTGAGCTGTTGTAGTCATGTAATTCCATTTAATCAAATCTGACCGCCCACTGTTCTCCATTCTAGAGTAAAAGGTTAAATACAAGTTCCTCACATTGATTGTTTTTTCCTTGTTTGCTAATATTGGGTAATATAATTGGACACCTTTTCTATTATATTTCATACACTGATGTTAAATAAAATTAACTTGATTTAACTGTTTTTGGGACAAATTTTTAATTTTCATGTTAATCGAAACAAATTTGACTGGCTGATTATGTTCCTCCTAAAGGTGATAGTTGAGATCCTCAAGCTTTTCAAAGTATGCTTTGGTTTTCTATTCCCTCCTAGCAAGGCAGAATGAAAGAAGAACTGAAGAAATTGGATGTCCAATTAAGAATCTCTATTAACTATTAAAGACAAAATTGAAGAAGCAAAGAGAGACATTTTATCTTGCATTTTTTTCACTGATCGGCAATTCTTTGCAGTTATGCTATCTAGATAATAACTTTTTAAGGCATCAGTCTCTTCTTCTGAATCTTGCTACAAATGACTAGTAAAATTGTATAAAAAATGTGATCCACAAGTATTTTCTTTTTCTTTTATTTTTCTTTTATTTTTTTAATTTGAGCAAGTTTTGGTTGATCAACATAGCCACTAGTAAAGGCAGCTGTATACTGGTTTTTGCACCCTGACTTTGAGATATAAGATCGTGGTCCAGTGAGATATGGATGTGCAAACTATACCATGTTTTCTCTGAAATAAATGACCACAAATTGGTGCTTGGCTGCATATACACCTTTGTAAATCATGGAATAGGATTACATGGTAAAACTTGCTGAAGCTAGTTTTTAATGCCACAATTGTGAAAACGCTTTGCTTCTACTGTACATATCTTTTTATTGTGAAGCTGGTTTTATTATGCCTCATCCTTGTATTAAAAAGGGGGAAAACTCTATTTGCAGAAAAGAAGACTTTGGAGTTTGCTGTGCTTGAATTAATGAGCTAATATATCAATTAATCAAGTGGAATATGTTTCCCTGAATCCCTGTAACCAACCTGTGTTATTAGGTTTAGGGCTATTAGACTGCAGAAAAATAAATGTCATTTAACAAGCATTAACCTTGTTAGATTTTGAGAAGCTTTCAATTTGATAAACTTGGAAGACTTGTTGTTTCACTCTCTCTCTCCCTCTCTCTCTCTTGGTTGCTGATCAGTTTCTCTGGCTAGAAAAAATGATTCATGGGAATGTCAGATAAACATAGATAAGATGACAGCTTCAGTTGCTTCTAGGTAAAGAAATTAAAACATAATAGATCAGTTGGGTTTGAAATTCATCTAATGAAAGTCCTTGAGAGGTCCTGGATGCAGAACTCCATAACAAGTCAAGAGTTGAGGAAGACTATTACATACTGAAGGATTTTCCTCCCATGAAGATTGATTGAAGTTTTTCAACTTGCACTTCAACCACATTCCAATTGATAGCAATACCACACATTTCTAAAAGGCTTGCTAGTCCTTTCTACATAGAAATGGATATACATAACATCCCTCTCACTCTATATAGTGCCTCTCAAGACTCGCTGCTAATAATAGAGATTGACTCTGCGTCCCTTTGCTACCATGGTGCATAGCACAAAAGATATCAGGTGATAGGGCCTAATTTTGGCTTCCTGGCCTGCAATGGATCACTAGTATTTCTCTTCTTGAGTACTGTAGTTTAGAAAAAGGACTTGATGTCAATTTGACTTTCTGGATATATTTGTCTGAGGCGACACGTACACATTTGGGATCTCCATGAGATAGTAAAAAATTTTTACAAAAAAATATCTTGAGGAAGTGGAGTAGTCGATAAGACAATTAGGAGATCTTGTAGATCTTTCTTTCCTTTGGATTCATGGTGACAGCTGCGATTGTTTTTATTTTTTATTTTTTTTGCTAATTAATCAACTGCTTTGTGCTTACTTTTTGGAAGAAATTTGTGAGTGCATTTTGGAGAACTCTTATTATAGTTTTGATAAAGGTCTTCTTTCAGCTTCCAGTGATTAGTTTTCTTCTACTGTCATTAAAGAATGTTGGATACAGTTATGGTTTATTTTTGCGTTTATGTTGGTAATTTTAGTTTTAGGCACACATCCAAGACCCACATTAGCAACTCATGGAGCCGTGGACTGTGTTGACTACCTACCTTACATGTTTTTTGACTTGACCACATCAAAGTGTAAAATGATAGTGAACTTGACTTTCAACTTTTTCATGGGTGATGTTTTTAGTATTCTTTAAAATATTACATAATATTCTTTGTTATACTGCTTATTAATTCTATTTCATTAGCATTAAATATTTTTTAATCTGTTTATAGTTTGTTGTTTTTCTCTAAAGGTTATTAAATGGATGCTAAGCAAGGGGCAGGGAACCACAATGGGAACTTATGCGCAGTTAATACGAGCATTAGATATGGACCACAGAGCAAAAGAAGCACATGAGTTTTGGTTGAAGAAAATTGGTAGAGATCTTCATTCCGTGCCATGGCAGCTTTGTAATCGCATGATATCTATATACTACAGAAACAACATGCTAGAGAATCTCATAAAGGTTTGGTTTGCAGCATGTCATATGCTCCTTGACATGGAGAATTGGTTGTGTAATGAACTTATTATGTTTACTAGGAAATCTCCTTGACATTGAGATGAACATGTCATTTGCATACCGCACTTTTGTCTTTGGTCTGTAGAAAGTTGCGGTTTTCTTGAAATACATCATCTCATGCAAGAAAAACAATTTGAATATTTTCTGTAGAAATTTTTTTTCCAGTTATGCGAAAAAGCTCTGTCCTTGCAAAGGTAACTGCATAGGAACAAGAAAGAAAATGGTAGAAAGATGATCATACAGCTAAACCATTATTACTTTCTGACTCCTCAGATGTGCAACTAAACTCGAGGAAGGAAATAGTACAAAACTTGAAGATGCTATTATGTTTTGAAGTTAGTGAAGTGAGAGTTCTTTTTCGATTTTGCTATAGGATATGATGCTGGTAGTGCAACTGCATCCATACACCCAAGGATTGTTATTTTTTTCACGAAATAGTTGCATGTGAATCTCTCTAATTTTATAGGGCAGTCTATATTTTGATATTTCTTCTATTCTATCCCTAGACTAGAGCAAAATTCTGTTGATTGTTGCTTAAATTGAACAGACTTTGTTAGTCATTAACATTTACTGAATTGGAGGATGTGGAAGATTTTATCCTTTGTTAAAAAATATGAGGAAGAAAAAAATTCTATAAAATTCATTTCTAGTTGAATCTACTTTTAATCTGTAAGGAAGGAATATCAATCATGCCTTTCAGTGCTATTAAATCACATTATGCTTTTTTTCTTTCTTGAATTTTTTAAAATTGCACTTATTGTATTGGTTGGACTAATGCGGCTTTGTCATTGTACTTGAATGCAAAGCTTTTCAAGGGACTGGAAGCTTTTGATCGTAAACCTCCAGAAAAATCAATTGTGCAAAAAGTAGCAGATGCATATGAGATGCTAGGCTTACTTGAAGAAAAGGGAAGGTTATTAGAGAAGTATAATGATCTCTTCATTGAGACGGGGAAAGGACGGAACAAGAATTTCAGGATTGCCTCATCCAAGAAAACTAAGAAATCAGGTAAGGAATTTTAAAGTCACTTTCTATATTGATGTCACTTTCTGATAGCTACAAAACTCTGTTGTAAATTTGTTCAATTACTAATTGATTTCTCTTTCTATGTTGATGTCACTTTGTGAAATGAATGTTCTGAAAACAAGAGTTCTTTAGCCTGTGATTGTCTATGTATTTTGCATTTTGAGCGTATATGATCACTGTCTTTGCCATTTGGTGCTGGAGCAAATATCATCATTTAGCTTCTATACACAAACACACCACATATTTCAATTTAGTCTTCAAACCTCCAAACTAACTTCCAATGGTGGAAAATTGAATACAATGATGGTTCATAATATATACACAACCTTTGCCATTGGCCATCTTCAAATTTTTCGTGATTGCAAGCTTTGAAAGTTTGAGGGCTGCATTGAAGAAGATTATATAAATTAATGGATGGGGACTAAATTAGACTTTTAGTTTGACACTTCAGGCCTAAAAATATGGTTTTCTGTTTTGGTCCTTTGGATGGTTGGAATTATCATACCCAGCTCAACCTTGACCTGGCCAAGGGTCTGGAAGGTTCACCAGCTGGTGGGTCACAGGGTATAATGGTCGTTCAATGCAAATGCATTATATATTTATATTTAAAAAATTTATTGGATTATGAAAAATTAAAATACTGAAATAGGTCCAATAAGAGAAGGCATGCCATAATAAAATGTATATAAGCCATTTGGTATCATCCAATTACAGCCTTTAGATCCTAACATGAGGAGATTTGTTATTTAGGTATCTGCAGTTTGCTTTTCTGGATAAAACTAATATATCTTTATTAAGTACTACTATCACTTACAATATGGTGAAATACCCATTCTCTACTTGAGCATGAGGCATTGGATTAGTTTTTTGTGGCATTTGAGCTTCTCTTTGCCAAATCTAGATGATTCTGATGATAGTATATTAAAAATACTTGTGTGCCATATGAAGTTTCAAGGGCTATTAAAGACATGATATTCAGAAGTCCCCAAACACACACATACACGTGTTACGTCCTCCATGTGTTTCTAGAACTGAGCCTGATTTTTGTCCATATTTGTGATAAGCAATGTATATATAGGTGTATACTTGTGACAACGCTAGAACTGAACCTGAACTCTGCGTGGAGTCCTAGGACCACCCAATCTATTGATTTTCATGAGCAAACCCATCTGCTTTAATGCGTGATCTTTTTACGTAGACGAGAGAAAAATTTAAATGCTTTTGCCTCTTGATTTTGACAATATTCAGGTAAGGCAAAAAATGTATCTGCTTCGGACAAGATTGCTGATGCTGTGGATGGCAAACAGTAACGCCAAGATTATCAGAACACTGCAGATAAATTTCCTCTTGCTTGAATTTTTGGAATTGCTCTTTTTTGATTGGAGAATCCTTTGCCGAGTTAATTAGGCCACTGTCACTCTTGAATGCATTGTTGCAGTGGCAAGGAGGGCAATGATAAAGATCATTTTATTTTGTTCCCTTAGCTTGTGAGAACCGTTAGAATTTTTTCTTTTTTAATGGTAGTTAGGTTGCACTGTGTTTTATTTATTTGTTATTTTTATTTTTCCTGTTCGAGGCAGAACTAAATGGTGTAAATTAATAATCATGTAAAAAAGAACTGAATCTTCTTTAGTATCAATTTTTCCGAATAAAAAGCATATGAGGTTAAGAATTTACATTTTAGATATATTATTTTAGTCTGTGCGATGCTACATTTGTTATTTTCCACACAGAATATCCATAGATAGATGCATATGCTAAAAGTAAAGCAGGCAGCAGTCCGAACTCTGTCAATTCAGTTTTGAACTAAACAATTATTTATTTCCAGTTGATACATTACTTGTATTTTTCAAACTTAACAGACCATTTTATTAATTTGTGGATATACCCATCTTATTTGTGCTTTCGGTTTTTGTAATGTAGAAATAAACTAGTTTGCAATTGCAACCCTCGAGTTATTGCAAAACCTGAAGGCATGTATCAGTCACTACTGGCCAATCCAATCATCCATGCCTAACCTAGTTGTAAAGTCACTTGCCTGACCAAAGAATTTTACATTCGAAGCACTAAATCACGTCTGATGCTGATAGGGAAATGGCACCGAGTAATTGATAACAGCACAAAGTTACCTTGGAGCAAAATCTAAGTACATGTTGAAAGCAATCACTGACTTTCCAAAAAGTGGGGTTTAGGTTCATCTTGACATTCTAATAGAGCTTGGACTACTGAATCCATTGTTGGTCGCTTGTTTCTGTCTTCCTCCACACAAGATATACCAAGTTCAACAATTGTTGCCGCTTGGTTCCTGCTAAACTGACCGTTCAATCTTGGATCCACTATTTCCTCTATCCAAGAGTCTTCTCCACACTGAATTTTCCTTTTCACCACTCTGACAAACCTTGTTAGTTCTGATTCAGGCTCTTCTCCGCCCTCTATAACCCAATTTGAGAGTGGGATTCCTTTCACCAACTCTAGAACTACAACTCCATAACTATAAACATCAACTTTTGCAGTGATGGGAAGATTTGTAGCCCACTCTGGAGCCATGTAACCCTTTGTCCCTCGAATCCGAGAGAAGCCAGAACTATTGCTACCCCTCTGAGACAGCTTGGCTAGCCCAAAATCTGCGATCTTAGGTTGGAATTCACTGTCCAGAAGTATATTTCCTGGCTTCACATCACAATGTATAACCCACTCTAGACACTCGTGGTGAAGATAAGCCAAACCCTTAGCTGTCCCTAAAGCAACTTCAAACCTGTCTTTCCATCCAAGAAACTTCGGGGAGAATAGATGCTTGTCTAGTGACTGATTCTCCATGTGCTCATAGACTAGGAGTCTGTGTTTGCCCTCTGAACAGAATCCCCACATTCTCACTAGGTTCATATGATTGATTTTTCCAATTGTGCTCACTTCTGCCCAAAATACATCTTCCCCTTGGTACATGTTTTCCAGTCTCTTCACAGCTGCAACCCTTTCGTCTGGCAAAATGCCCTTATATACAGCTCCAGAACCTCCCCTTCCCAGCTCTTCCTTGAAATTCCTTGTCGCCTTCTTGAGCTCAGCATAAGTAAACCTCCTAAACCGACTTGATATCACTTCATATCCATCTTCCACCAAATTTGGCACCCCTTGCTTTCTGAAAAGAAACCACCAACCTGAGACTATAAAGAGGATTTCAATAATACCAATTGCAGTAGCAAATGAGTAGAGATAGACCCATCTCATCTTCTTAGTGTGGATGTTATACATAGAAGGAGAACCCATTATTGTTTCCGATTCAGCAGAATGGCAAACGAGGTCTGTGCCAGTTAGAGTAGCGAGTTCAGATGCCTCAATACTCACTGGCAATTTAAGAAATATATTGGCTGGAAAACTTGGAGACTGGTAACCATTGAAAAGCACATCTTTTGTGAAACAAAACCTTTTCTCTATTAGCTTATAGCTAAATGCTTTACACCGGTAATCCTCCAAGCAGAGCTTCATGCAGGAGTCCATTGAAATGGATGGACTGTAATTAAGATCATATCCCCAGTAATCTACATGCGGCAACCGCACAAATTTCACTTGCTGAGACTGGGAAAGAGTTTCGTTGAACAAAGGCTTGCAGCCTTTTTTCCAGTTACCAGGCTCAGTAATCTCATAGCCAGGAGGGCATGAACACCTAGGCTCTGGTGTATTTACGCAGATTCCATTTCTCCCACAAATTCCATGAACATGACACAGCTGAGAAAGAGCTTCCCAAGATACCACCCACAATCCAGTGTCATTGTTCAGGCTATAAAGCCTGAGATTCCCATCGTAGTCCATTGTTAGCCTCCTTTTGATCCTCAAGAAACCCATGTCAGAAGCAAGGAGCTCGAACTTATCACTAGATATAAAATGGCCCGTTTCCTCATAAACAGCAATTCTGCTACTAATATAGTTTGTTCTACCATTTTGGAACAAATCAAAATCAGGATCAGGCCAGTATATGCTTGAAATATCAGGACTATCATATATCAACTTCAGCACATTATCATTATCAAAAAAGAAGCTATAATATCCAGAAGCAGAAGACTCTCTATGTAATCTAGCAATCAGCTTTGTACTCTTTGTAAATAATTGGTTTGGAAGTAGTGTATCAGTAGGAAAATCAAAGCTTTGCCATAGAATTTTACCACCAGGGTCTTTAATAACAAGGTTACCAGTATCCAGAAGCTCTGCTCTTGTCGCATTAGTGGAGGTGGTTTTAGTCTCCCATATGATGGACCCATCAACATCGGTCAACACCATGGCACCATCTCGTCGTAGAGAAACTCTAGAGCGTCGGCCATTGGCAGGTCTGTCTCTGTTGGCCATCCAAACCACAGTCCTGTCCTTGGAATTGGTGAACCAAATAGAGAACCAATAAGCATTTTGTCCCATCCCATAGAACCCACAAGAGAATGTTTTATCTGGTGAGATAAGGATGTCTGAATCATCTTCTACTGATAAAGATGAACCTCTTAGCAAAAAGTTCTGGGAATTTGAAGTTGAAAGAAACAAGGAGAAAACAGTGAGGAAAGAATGGAGTTTTGGAGATTCTGACGTTGGGAAACTCCTCATGATTTCAGGGTTGATTTTACAACTCGCGTTTTTGGTAAGAAATAAGGACGAATGTTTTTAATGGGCCCCGAAGAAGAACAAAGTCATCGATTCACTGCCATTTTTCCTGTTTATTCTTTTCTTAATTAATTAAAAAATGATTTTTTATGACCACTTGACAGCATGAAAGGGACATCATGTCCATTATGCATTTATTTACAAAATCGCTAATTTAAACATATAAATCTCTTTTCTTCAATCTCAATTATATTACGTTTTTTTTTAATCATATTAATCCTTAATTATATCACTAATTCTCATGCAAGTACTTTTCAGGTTTATAAATATTTTCACATTATTGGAGTTTTTGTGGCCATCTTTACCATAGATTAAATATTCCAAGTCCCATGTCCGCTCGGTCTGTGTGCCAACCTCTGAATACCATGCGAAGAATATCAGATAAAGAACAAAGACTAACACAACACGTCATGTCTTCCCTCACTATATATATATATATATATATATATAATACCATGCGAAGAATATCAGATAAAGAACAAAGACTAACACAACACGTCATGTCTTCCCTCACTATATATATATATATATATAGAGAGAGAGAGAGAGAGAGAGAGAAGGGTTAGTTTTTACATCTATCGATAGATTAATTTCACCTTCACTTTTAGTTCTTTGTCTTCTTTGTCTCTTTCAAAATAATAATGATGAGGACGATGATAATAAATAAATAAATACCTACTAATTAGATAAATAGTCTCAATTTTACCATCAAATACTTTTTTAGGTTAATTTTATTCTTAAATTATTTTAAAAATTCTCAATTAAAAACTTTCATCCATTTGTAAGTTTTCCTTTTTTTTTTTTTTCAAAAAAAAAAGAAGAAATGATGTCGTCATTTTGCTGTAACCTATCATTTTCTGCTAACTGATGCACTTAACGGTTTAATGGCATTTTTTACCCTTTAACTATTAGGATTGTGGCTCATTGAAACCTATACTATAAATTAGATCATTTTTATCCTTGAACTATCATATTTTAGACAAATGTTGTCTCTTCGTTTAATTTGATCGTTATCATTTATAAAAAATTCTTTTAATTTTTTTTGATATTTTGGGCTGAAACTTTCACACGTGCTGATAAGTGCTGATAAAAACCGATCTACTTTCAAAAGTAATTTAATATTTATTTACTATTAAATATTTTAAAATTGTAAAAAATATAAAATTTAGAATGATCTCAAATTTTTTTATTAATAACAAAAATCCTTTCAAAATATTTTTTTTTTAGTATTTTAAGTTGATAATTTTCATATGTGCAAGTAAAAATCCAATCTAATTTCAAAAGTAATTTTTTTAAAAAAAATTAAAATTAGAAAGTATTTTTTTTTAATTTTTCTTAAACATTGAGGTGTTGTTTGATAATAGGAAATGAAATGATAGAATGAGAATGAAAATGAAAGTTTTATTCCTACTTTCAAAGTGTTTGGTGAAAAGAATAAAATGGGAATGAAAATAAAAATTAAATATAATTTTATTTCCATGAAAGAAGGTGCGAAAATAAAAAAATGAACATAATTTTTTTAAAAAATAATAATATATTATTTTTATTTATTATATATCAATTTTACTTCTACGATCTCACCACCACTACCTTCACCACCACCTCCACCCTCATTGACGATGATGATATATATATATATATTTTTTAAAAAAGTTATTATTATTATTCCACTATTCCTCCCGATCAACCACATCCTTCTTGGTGGTGATCATTTTCCTTTATGAAATAATAATAATAATAATAATAATATTTTTATTATATCATCACAACAATCGCTTTTATTATACAATCACTATTATCACTCTTCTTCCACTCGTCACTTCCTATGGTGGCGGTATTAAATTTTAAAAAAATATATTATTATTGTTACTATCTCATCCTCCTCCATCATCATCACTACCACTATCATAATTACCTTTATCATTTTTATTACCATTATAGTTGATGAAATTATTTTTTTCATCTAAAAAAGTAAATTTTAAAAATTTTAAATTTTATTTCGATTCATTTCAATTCTTTATTACTATTCTAAATGCAAGTGTGAGAATACACATACTATTTTGGTTTCTTAATTTTTATTTTGATTCTTGCATTCTTATTTTGGACATTTTATTCTCAATAATCAAACAACACCTAAGTATTTATAAAATTATAAAAAATATAAATAATTTGGAATAGTCTCAATATTTTTTGGAGGGCTTGAAAAAATTATATATATTTATATGCTTAGTCTTAGTATGATTATCGAAGTATTTGTATGGTCGAATACACAACACACAACCACAGTTTAAATAGATTAATTTTGAAAACTACATTAAAATTATATGTGTAAATTCATATGACCTTCTTAGGGCTTTCCAAAGAATTGGAGATAATTCCAACTTATTTTTTATAATTATTGAATTTTTATTGATTTGAAAATATAAATGATACTCTCCAACTTCAAAAACTTTTTAAATTTTTTGTTAAAATAAATTGAATATTCATTAATATCCATGAAAAATTTCAGTTTAAAATGTTAAAATATGAAGTTTTTAGGGTGAGTTTTGATCAGGGGTATAAGTTTGACCGTTAACCTAACAGCTGAATTAAATGGAGGGACTATATTTGTTTAAAACATGAGAGTTTAAGGATAAAACTGATAGTTCAAGTTTTAATGTGTCGCAGCCTTTGTAGTCTAGGGGCAAAAACTGGCTGTTAAACCAATTTTCAACATCGTCCTCTTTTGGAGAAATTAGTTATATAATATTTGTTGGATATAGGTCAACGGATCAAGCGTCTGGGTGGTGTAGTTGGTTATCACGTTAGTCTCACACACTAAAGGTCCCCGGTTCGAACCCGGGCTCAGACACTTTTTTAATTTTGCTTTTTAATTTTTCCTCCAACGCATAAATACTTGAGATTGATTGATTTCTCTCTCTTTTTCTCTAGCTTTCGAACTTTCCTCATCTCCTAAGAATTTGGGCTTTCGAATTCTTTTTTCTACTACTTACGAATCGTTCTAGGATTTCGTGCCAGCTTTTGAAATAGTAATGGATTGGGGAAATGTAACACCAGAAGATCTGATCGATGCACTTCGAGAAGTTGACTGGTCATCTCCACCTCGACCTTTCTCTGAGTTCTTCTCTAGATTTACTCTTCCTAAATCCTCCGCCAAATGGAACAGCCGCCTCAAATGTAATCTCTACTAGTATGTTATCTCCATTTCAATCGGAGCTCTATTTTAATTTCTGATTATCCAGATAATTGTCATTTTTGTCTTTGTTATTTCTCTTACTTTTGCTTTAATTTTTTTTTTTATTATTATTATTTTTTTTTTGCAGTTACAGGACGAATTACTTCATTATGATCCTTCTCATTCTGGGTAAGGAAGGGGACGGTGCTGTTCTGAATTTTGTTTTTTACTGATGTTACTTCTATCTTCTCTTTTCTAATTTTTTTTATTTTGTTATTTAGGACTGGGATTCCTTAGGAGGCCACTTGCTATTGTGGCCGCTCTTTTAACAGCTCTTAGCATTGCACTTTTGAACGATAGGTAAGTTGCTTCGGAGTTCTTTGTGTGTGCGTGTTTGTCGGCATATATTGTTGCATTTTTCTGGTGTTTAGGAAATGAGTGTATGCAGTTGAAGTCAGAGAGATTTAGATTTCTAGAGTGGCATAGAATTGACATGAAATGCTGATAGTTAATGGTCAAGGTTGTAGGATAAATTAGGGGAAAAGTGGTTATCTCAGAAGTAATTATCAGATGGGGTGGGGCTGCAATAGGCATCTTGAACCAATTCACCCTTGTCCCTTGTCAAAATTCATCAGGGAATAATACTATCTCTGTGCCTGTAATTAATGGGTCAGGGCCTAAAAAGCAAGATCAATTTCTATCCCTAGGTCTTGAATTCCGGATGCTAGTGAACAATGTTTCTTCATTTGGAAATATTTGCATACACGCTTGAGATAAATTTGCTGATCTATAATGCCTCTATGAATGTGCATGACCCCTTTATTTTGTAACATGACGTGTCCAAAGACTACTTTGTTTTAGTTTAAGAGATCTTATTGCCTCAGATTATCCTATTGCCAGCTCCATTAACCTCAGTTTATTGATTGGGGGAATAGAAAAAATAATGTGTTGAGTCAACTGGCATTAGTGCCCCCTCCCTCTAAGAGGTCTCGTTTTCAAACCTCTCTTATTTAACCCAAAAAGAGAGAGAGAGAGAGAGAGATTCTACAGTCAGGGTCATTTCATCCATTCCCTGTCCCTCCTTCCTTTTTTGACTTTTCTCTCTCATCCTTCAAATGGCCGTAAAGAGTCTGGGCTACTGTATGCTAGGTAACATGAAATTCTGGTTGGGAGACAAGGACAAAAAGCCATGTGGGATAACCTATGCTCTATAAAAATTTTCCGTACTTGTCAATGTTGGTTTAATACACACTTAGCAATTTGAGAAGCACCAGAAAAAAAGCCCAAGTCTAACTATTTCAAACATCATTATTTTCACATCGTTAATATACAATTAGCAGTCCACCTGTCGACTGAAATTATCACATGATTCTGATGAGATTAAGAACCCCTCCTCCCCTACTCAGAGTGAGAAGCATTTTATACAGCTTATAATGCCACTTAAGCCTTTTGAGAGATGGCCCAAATCAGTTTAGATATGCTTATTGAGATAGTTTGAAGAAGGATTATGCCTTCGTATTCAATGTTTCTCTCTTCAACACTACAGTAACTAATGATAGGGCTCATATTTCTTCAAGTTAGCAAGATGGCAAGCGCATGTAGAATTATTGAGTTGTGTATTTTTTGTTTTATATGATTTTATGTTATATTTTTACTAAGGTGGGCCCTGCATGCTTGGTCCACATTCCAATTAAATACATCTGACTAACCTAGTTGGCAGTAGAGGAATGGTCCAAGACTGTAAAATCTCTCAGATGTTGAATCCTAATTGTGATCTCCAGCAGCATTATGTTGTTGTCTGATGGGCTAATTGGATGATGTAATGGGGGACTGGAGACCTTGAGCCTCATTTACTGTTTGTAATAGGGCTCACATTGCATGTGTGAAATTATGCGACGTAATATATGAATGTTGAAAGATTACAGGTTAGTGGCATTTAACAAGTTTTGGAGAAAGATTACCTTTAAGCAGCTATATGAATGTCAGAAAAATGTTGAAAGCCATATGGTCCTTAGATTTATCATTCAATAAAGTCCAAATTAGTAATGCAATCATGTGGTCACTTGGACTAGTAACATGCATTATAGAATGTTTGAACATCTTATATGTAGCGTATTATGATGAAGTCATCTCACATATCACCTATGAAAACACAAACTGTCTTTTACGTGGCTAAAAGTTCCATACCAGCAATCCATTGTCTGTCCTGAAAAATTGACAGAGTACCTTCGTCACTGCAAAATGTAGCTCTGAATCACCACTAATAGCAACGTTCCTTTTTGCAACACGTCAGTTTCATCAGAACAAATATCTTAGCCAAAATTCAAATCCAAATTTGCCACATCATTTTGGAATATAAATTTCAAATTGAACACTCTTTGAATTCTAGTAAAGACTTGTCAATAAATTCACCTGTAAACTTTTAAGACAACTTACAGCACTTGTGTCCCCGAAAGTTGTTTCCATTAGTTCTGGGTCAGTTTTCTTGTTCATTGGAAACCCAAACACCACAAATCTGTGTCAAAACCATGGAGCTCTCCCATTATATCTCTATTTTGAGGTCAATTTTGGAAAATGCCTCTACCTTTCACTGTTATTAATCACATGCGTTGCACATGTTTGCCCCATTAAACCTAATTAACACTAAAATTCTCTCCAAACCACCGAATTAAAGCAGAAGAAGCAATTTCTGAAACTCCCTTTGGCAAGAGTTAATTGACTTTAATGACAGTTTGGTTAGATTTTTAGAGTTATTTAACTGCAACAGGGGAACGCAGACATTGCACATGAGTTTTGATGGAAAATGTTGATAGAGCCTAATAGAAGGGGTACATTAATAATAGTTTTCCATAGTGGATGGTTGTGAATCAATGTAGAGCATATAAGGTGTCTCTATTGAAACAGGCTACAATTCATGGAGATGTCTGTAGGGATTTTGTTATTATTATAGAAACTTTTCTATAAGGTTTAACAGAATAATAGGGCATTTCCTTTCTCCTGACCTGATTTTCATGGTAGGCATGATGGTTACTTTTAGCCACATCAGCGACACTGGTTCTCGCAAGTGTTAGGACTCACATGATAACCGATGTGTCAGATCACATCATCACTGTAGTCTGTGTTCTATTCTTCCCGTGGTCATTATATGTTGTTCCAGTTAAGAGGTAATGTGGCCATGTCAGTGATGCTATTCACTCAGCCTGCCTTGTGCGATAAATTTCAAATACATTTGCAAGGGCGAGGATATAATTGCTCATTTTGAAATTAGAAGGTGAAATCAGAGAAACAAGACAGGTTGTGGGATGAAATTGAGATTTAAACCTCAGAGTAATTGCATGTTTGGAGCTTGCTTTTCCTATAGGGTGGAATGTCGATCCTCACGCAATGCATGGACTTTTTCATTGATCTTTTTTTGGGTGCAAGTTGGTTAGGAGGGAGATATGAAACCGTCTTTTGAATAATTTTTATTCAGTTTTTCATTGGATGCGACAAGAGTTAAAAACATATAATGACTGGATCATTTTGGTTGCCTACTCATTCTCATTTCTCATTGATGTTTAACCCTTGCCCCCATATCTTTGCCATCTTTTGGTTATCATCTGTTCTTGCTTTATTTTTCTTATTCATGATTGTTGAGAATTTTTCTGTACAGCTTTGCAGGTACTTTTAGCGAGAAGGTAACCAGAACTGTGAGGCAATTCTCTCCACATCTAGCGGCAAAAATGAGACCTCCTTTGACGTAAGTCCTTTTGTTTTACTATTGTTTTGTGCAGCATCTAGGTTCCTGTTTTATTCACAGTTTAGCTTTGACAGACCTGTTATTCGTGGACGCCCATCAGCAAAAAGAGCAATTCACATATGTGGTCGGCCTCGTTGGGTGTTCGTCATTATATTTTCTTCTGGTACTTTAATGCCTTCTGGCATCTTTTTTTTTCCCTTTTAAAGCAATATAAAACTTAAACATTTTGTGAACCAAGTAGCATTTACTGGTAACTGATTATATATGCTTTCAACTTTCCATGTTCTGCAGTGAGTTTCAGCCTTTGGTATGTCTCCTGTGGTCTCTTGACTGTTCTATGGGCGCTTGCCATTGGACTTCTTGGTTCGTTTCTTACTTGTATCTTTCTCACTTATTCTTTAGAATTTCATGTGTTCTTTTCTTAACTCTCTCCTTCTCTCTCTCAGCCACTATCCTACATGCAAGTTTTAGAACACCTAATCTGAAAGCACGTCTGAACACATTCCGTGAGGAATTTCGAGCAGTTTGGCGCAACTACAGTGAGCTGTAGCTGAAATTGTGGCGTGTAAGTAAATCTGCTTTGGTTCATATCTTTGAAGCTGGGGCTTTTATTTTCTTTGCATGTATACTTAAAAAGGTTGCTGTTGTATTACTTAATAAACATGAGAGTAAAATGTTTTATTACTAGTTCGAGGCCATTATCCTTGCTGCTTGTAGAGACGGGTGGTTTTACTGTAAAATATACTTTTCATTGGGAATGCTGAAGCTAGCAGTTGCATTTTATCTATCATGTTAATTTGTACAACCTTTGGTAATAACAACAGGTCTGCTTTTGTGCAGGGACTATTTCTTGGTTGTGAAGCTCGTATAGGTACTTGTTCTCACTTTGGGCTTTTAGCTGTTTCTGTTGCTATAAAGTAATTTTCTTTGACCGGGGCCGGAAATTCTCAGGTCAAGACTGCTGATGTTCACATATCTCTAATCATCATGTCAATTGTTAGGACTCCTTTCTGTAAATTGAACTGTTTCTATTTGAAACTCATAGTTGAAGAAACCTGTAAAAAGAAGGGGAAAAAGGTTGGTATTTAGAATTTTCTTGGATGAGCTCTTAATGCCCTTTCTGATTTCAAGGGTTCTAAAATTGTTTACGAACGGTGTATGGAGTAGTTTCCATCAAAATGTGTTGTTATCAAACGTCTGTCCATTTTATATCAAGCAGCGCTAGCCAGTTAACTATTCTGGTTGTTGTTTCATTACTTCTGAACATCATATGTGTGGGAGTTTCTTTTCATAATCTTCTTTTTGCTTATTCAACTGATGCAATTGTAGCTTCCTGATCTACGTCAATCCGTTGTCTTGGGGTGAAAAAATTTCATGCCAGATCGTCAATTTCATCGCAACACCACTTTGGGTTCCCACTATTCAGTGTGACAAGTGGTATGAAGTGAAAGTTCAAGTGTTGTACGATAAGTAACGACCGTGCGAAAGAGTTTCAATCTGTATGCAATGCCACCCTAAGCAAAAAATACCTTTGCGATCTAGTGGCAACACCTTTGATATCAAAGGAAAAACATAGGAATCAAAATCTTCCGGCAAAAGTGAGATGAATGGAAAATCGGGTTACGAGATCCGTTTTCTCTTCTACTCAAAAGCAAGTGCTTTTAGCTCCTTTTTTTTTTTTTTTTTAAGTGGCCATCTTTCTCAAAACCAGTATGTACTGTTAATTATAGTAATATAATTTAGACGTGTGGCAGGTTCCTTCAGATCTACAACGTGATTATATGTTTTACGATGACAAATTCTCAAGTACCTTGAATAATTATGCTTAATTTTCTAAGAGACGCAACCTCCCTTCTCGAGTCTCGAGTAATTGTAATTTGCTTCAGCCATTGATTTGACGGTGTAATAAGTCAGTCATATAGGGGTTAGTCTATATTTTCAGAAGGGGGAAAAAAATGTGTGTGATAGTGGAACAAATATCGGAGAAATTTGTTTGCTTCACGATAGCCATTATGCTCACAATATTGATATCT